CCACACACACACACACACACACACACACACACACACACACACACACAGAGAGAGACTTACAAGAGATTCTGAAATTCCTTCTCCATGTCAAAGGTGGGCGCCATCAGGGACAGTTTTTCCAGCACCTCCGAGTTGAGGTCGTAGTTGTTCTGGATGTCTCGGATCCAGCTGCACAAACAGCAGAACAAACAAAACATAACATACATACGAGTACACAGAGCTTCCCAAACACAAATCATCATCACCAATGCCTTTCACCTCCGGCAGGGTATAGAGGCTACATACAAGCTCCTTCCATTTATCTCTGTCCTGAGCCATCCTTCCAAGCTCGTTCCAAGAGAGCTTCATTTCTCTCATGTCCCTTTCCACGCATTTCCTCCGTGTTTCCCGTGGCCTACCCCTGCCTCGTGCTCCTTGTGGGTTCCACTGCAGTGACTCAACAGAAATATACCTATTTTATTGTTTTAGAAAGAATTTTACGGCACTTGCAACACAATAAAGTCATATAAGTGTCGAAGATCAGAGGTGCCACAAGAGAGAAACAAACACAAAAAAGACACACAGAGGAGGAGAGACCAGTGCTATAAATATGTTTGATTGGAAAGAAAGAGCATACACCACCAGAGCATCAGCCAACAACCCACACAAATATTTCACTCTACACCAGTTAAAACACAAACATGATGTAAAACTGAATTCGATGTATTTATCAATAAATCTCAGCATCAAGAAAGGGGGGAATTCGTTTTTATGTATGTGTGTTGTGTGCATGTTCGTGATGCGTGCGTGTTTCCCTATGGGTGCATGTTTCGCTATCTGCATATTTGCATGTGTGTGTGTGTTTCCCTATGTGTGTGTTTCCCTCCATGTGCGTGTTTCCCTCTGTGTATGTTTCGCTATCTGCACATTCGCTATGTGTGTGTATTTCCAATGCGTGTTTCACTATCTGCACATTCGCTATGTGTGGGTGCTTCCCTAAGTTTGTGTTTTGCTAGGTGTGTGTGCTCCCTATGCCTGTGCTAGACGGTACATTTCAGAGTTTGTCATGTCATGACACCTACCCGCGGACCAAGCTCTTGAACCAGCGCGGCTTCTTGCACAGCGGCATGTCCAGGGAATGGAACTGGGCCAGCTTCTCTGCAACCATGCCCATGACCTCCTCCTCCTTCAGGTCCTCCGGCCCCAGAGGTCGCGCCTGAGGGGAGACAACACACACACACACATAGCCCGGAGTTGTTTAGTTTTAGTAAGGGTTTACTTATGGCACTTGCAACACAATAAGTTCATATGATGTTTAGTTTTAGTAAGGGTTTTACTTACGGCAATTGCAACACAATAGATTAGGGTCATATGGTCGCTTTTAAGCTGTTTTGAGAAAATCGAAGGTAAAGTTTTTGAACCCTTGTTCAGTTTCCTTAAAACAAAACGAGGGTTTTCGCTAAAACCAAAAAAATATACAAACCGATGAAACCAAACTTCTATAGGTAGGGCAATGCCCACTTGTGGTGTAGGTCAAGATTTCTGGAAACCCCCAAAATCTGGGCTAGCCCGCTTGTCCTTATAAACGACCATATTAGTGCCGAAGATTAGAGGTGTTACAAGGGAGTAACAAACACAAAAGAGAAGGAGGAGAGATAAGGATGATAGACATTTGATAGGAAAGAAGGAGCAAACCACACTATAGCACCTCCAAACCACCTACAGCCCGAAGTTTACAGAAACAGACACAACACAATGTGTTCACCACAGCAAAACTTTGATGTCCATCCCCAGACGATATGAACAATGAGCGGAATTGATTCTTTGGATGGTGAAACATGACTACTGATGACTACTGGTGACCTGCCTTTACTGGCATATTATATCATTTTTACATATAAACTCCTCCATCCTCCCATCTCCCCTTGATAAACTTCTCTATCCTCCCATCTCACCTGGATAAACTATTCCGTCCATCCCCCCCCCG